CCATAAGTTAGCACTGGGATCACACAGGAATTGAAGACCTTAAGTTTCGTGTTGTTGCTGAGTGATCTATATATGTAGTGCATTATAAATAGAGATGCTTGCATTAAAATTTATCCACGTAGTATGATACTGGTGTATGGTATATCCATTTTGTATGTAAAAGTAAAAGTCTCTTTTCCACGCCTTTAGGCGCATAGGGCTAGGCCTATATTTTTATAGACTAATTGGTACACGCCGGCCGCCTTTACTTCCTGGGACTGAACCCGGTACCCACTCAAGGCTGGGTCGACCTGGGAGTCAAGCTAATTTTCAAAAATAGTCTGGCTTCACCAGGGAGCAAACACTACGACCTTCCGATCCGCATATGGGCGTCTAGCCACTACACCACGGCGACTCATTTTGAATGTTACTGTTGCAAACTAGAGGGTGAGAGAGACTTGCATAGACAGAGAAAGAGAGAGTGTGAGCGAGACATATAATTGGTTCATTATTAGCTTTTGCTTGAAAATCCAGATTTTGATTTATTCATGTAATGAAGTCAGTAAGAATTTATATGGCTAATAAATAAATACGGAATAATAAAAACATTAAATTTTTTTTTATAGTATATTACCACAATTGACATTGCTGCATATTGGGCATTCCCATGGTAGTTCTACTAATTGTTCCCATAAAAAGTTGATTGTCCCTTCTTTCTCGGCCTCGAAGCTGGCATAGACGTGCTTTAACATGCTTTACTCACATGTCACGGAATCGTGTTAGTCTCAGAGATTTGTCATTGTCCACCAGCCCAGTCCGTACAGTGGTGACGATATCGGCTTTCTCCATGGGTGTGAATGCTGATCTATCAGGGTCCTTACTTCTGTGTCCCTTAGAACAGGACACAGTCGACTTGCCAGCCACATGTACACAAAAGTTTAAAATCGGTGAATCAGACATGTGCACATGGGGATTGGCTCCTAAGACAACAGATCATGTCCTCCAAGACTGTCCCAAATACAACATATCAAGGCAAAACTTTTGGCCAAGAGAAACATTGGTGCAAGTCAAACTTTACGGGTCACTGAGTGAATTACAAAAGACAGTGAAGTTCATACTGGAGACAACATTGCAGATTTAAATAATCTTTTTCAAGCGACGAAAGAAGAAGAAGAAGAAGAAGAAGAAGTAGAAGAAGAAAAAAAAGAAGAAGAACCTCTGTTTCTACGGCCGCAGGAATCTGATCCCTGCAGTACCTTCATATAGTGATGACACCCTTAGAGATGCCCCGCATGTCTGCTGGCGTATTCGACCACTCGTATTTTTTACATCACACAAACCTGCGAGCAACGCTGCGGATATTTCTTTTAGATATAGTACCAAATAATTTGTGAAAATGTATCAAAACACACCAAACAATTTTTTCATTATTTAAAAAACACACACACACACACATTGATAGGTCTTCTCTTCTTCTTCTTCGCGTTCACCAGCTGTAAACTCTGGCCGAAGGTTCTGTTTGCTCGTCCACTACTGAACTGCAGTCCTGCTCCAGAACCTGAGTGTTGCGTGTGCATCAGTTTTACAGATCTCATTCTCTTGAATACAGACTGTTGGTTCCTTGCCTCTCTGGCAGATGCACTCCGACTTCAAAGGAAGCTTCCCAATTAGTCGACTCTTTCGACATGCTTTTGGGTAGGCAGTGGGTCTATTCTTGTTTTCCCCCACAATGGGGCCTCGGGACCCACACAGGGACTTGATAGGTCTTCATACACATGTTCTCTCTCACACACTTGCTTGAGACAGTATATATATATATAAAACTCTTAACTTTTATCTTATGGGAGTGACCCAAGTGCTGTGAGTCGATTCTTAATTCAACATTCAACTCATATTTGATTAGAATTTAAATTCTGTGTCCATTAAATCTTTGCTATACATCATTTATTTTGGCTCTGTTTGTTGCAAACCTATTGTGGTGGTTTCCAATGGATGCAGTAAAGTTCTGCAGCAATAATTTTGATCTCAACATACAGACAATAACATACCTGCTCATGATGATACAATAAGTGTCCAAACAACAGTAACATACCTATTCATGATGATACAATGAGTGTCCAAATGACAGTAACATACCTGCTCATTATAATACAATGAGTATCCAAATGACAGTAAAATACCTGCTCATGATGATACAGTGACTATCCAGATGATAGTAAAATACCTGCTCATGATAATAAAATGAGTATCCAAATGGCAATAAAATACCTTCTCATGATGATACAATGAGTATCCAGATGACAATAAAATACCTTCTCATGATGATACAACGAGTGTCCAAAAGACAGTAAAAATACCTGCTCATGATGATACAATGAGTATCCAAATGGCAATAAAATACCTTCTCATGATGATACAATGAGTATCCATATGACAATAAAATACCTTCTCATGATGATACAACGAGTGTCCAAAAGACAGTAAAAATACCTGCTCATGATGATACAATGAGTATCCAAATGACAATAAAATACCATCTTATGATGATACAACGAGTGTCCAAATGACAGTTAAACTCCTGCTCATGATGATACAATGAGTGTCCAAGTAACAGTAAAAATACCTACTCATGATGATACAGAGTGTCTAAATGACAGTAAATACCTGCTCATGATGATACAGAGTGTCTAAATGACAGTAAATACCTGCTCATGATGATACAATGAGTGTCCAAGTGACAGTAAAAATACCTTCTCATGATGATACAATGAGTGTCCAAATGACAGTGAATACCTGCTCATGATGATACAGAGTGTCTAAATGACAGTAAATACCTGCTCATGATGATACAATGAGTGTCTAAGTGACAGTGAAATACCTGCTCATGATGATACAGTGTCCAAATGACAGTAAATACCTGCTCATGATGATACAGTGTCCAAATGACAGTAAAATACCTACTCATGATGATACAAAGAGTGTCCAAATGACAGTAAAATACCTTCTCGTGATGATACAATGAGTATTCAAGTGACAGTAAAAATACCTACTCATGATGATACAATGTGACCCTAATCCAATGAGCCAGTATCGAGAGATTCATTCATAAGCCTACACCCAGAGCACTCTGGGACTTCAAGGGAAGACAACTCTTGATGAGGACCAGATTAACAAGATCAAGTATTTATTACATTTATAACAGCAATTATGTCATGCTTTTGATCTAGTGTTTTCTGTGTCCGGAGGCTTGTGAACCATCGTGCCCTGGCACTGCAGTAGATTTCTGGCCCTGATTTATAGTTCATGATTATTATAAGTTGCTTCAGTATAATCAATAAATATTGAAATGTTACCTTCATTCTTCATTATTGCAGCCATAAGTATGTAAGATGGTTCTACAAGAACCATCATCATCATGTGCCGTGCCAACTGGCGTAGGCGCTTATGCGTCTCCACAGATCACGATCCCTGGTTGCCTGGAACAGCTCTCTTGATGATATCCCTCCATGCCATCGTTTCAGCCCATCCAGCATCATCTCTCTTGGTCTGCCTCTACCCTTTTTCCACTGATCTTTCCAGTTGTCACGATGTTCTCCAATGTCTCTCTTCTCATTATGTGGCCAAAGAACAGCGTTTTTTTTTTCTTTCTCATTGTTCCAGAAAATACCTAGAGAATTTAATAAATGCAATCCTGGCCTCAAATTTGATGAAAGGGAAAATCCCACCAGACTGCACCTCCAAGTGGTGATGGGTGGGAAACATACCATGGTGTGGTTAACGCAGATATGGAGACCAGGTATCCATCGGGATAAGTGGATCACTTCGCAGCTGGGCAGAGAAGGGTGCCCACTTGTCCTGACAGTCAGAAATTGCTGTCAAAGGTGCAGGTTAAAATACCCAATGTGGATGTGGAAGGCAACGGGAAACCACCACATTATTTTTCGAAGAATACTCGTAAAAAAACACAGACCGAATCACACAAACGACAAGAACCACACTCCATCTTTACTGTGAAAAACAGTTCGGGGGCTATATAAATTGTGGGTTGGTCTTTAACTATAATTTTTACAGGTGTTTAACATTTCCTATTGCAGTGGGTTCCATCTACCACTTAGTTCCCACAACAGGAACCACTGCCTGTTTATATAATAATCTCCTGGGGCCAAACCCTTAGATAAAGTTATGGTTGAGCCACTTCAGCAAATTTTGTTTTGTTTTCAACATTTGTGAGTTAAGGAGTGCTAGCTTTCTTATAAGTCAATTCCTCTCCTTTAAAGACCAATTTTTTGTTGTTGTTGACAATTATAACGAGCAGTTTACGACGGACAGATAATGTCTAGACAGACCTGCAAACACTTGGTGTAATCAACTGGAAAGAGAAGGCCAACCAGAGAGATGAATCGAGGCGAATGATATCTTCAGCAATGAACCTCAAGGGCTCAGAATGCTGAAGAAGAAGAAGAAGAAGAAGAAGAAGAAGAGTATTATTTTATGAGAAGAAGAAGAAAAAGAAGAAGAAGAAGAAGAAGAAGAAGAAGAAGAAGAAGAAGAAGAAGAAGAAGAAGAAGAAGAAGAAGAGTATTATTTTATGAGAAGAAGAAGCAAAAGAAGAAGAAGAAGAAGAAAAAGAAGAAGAAGAAGAAGAAGAAGAAGAAGAAGAAGAAGAAGAAGAAGAAGAAGAAGAAGAAGAAGAAGAAGAAGAAGAAGAACAAGAAGACAAGAAGAAGAAGAAGAAGAAGAAGAAGACACAACAGTTTAAAAGAAAAAAAGTGTCTTAGGTCTCAAAAGTAGAACAATGTACAGAACCACAAATCCTGGATATCATGCTCAGAACAATTTGTAACAAAACGTTTTATGGTTTTAAAAGGAATAATAATTTATAGAACAAAGTATCCTGGGTATCATGAGTAGAACAATTTAGAGAACAAAGTATCATGGGTGTCATGAGTAGAACAATTTAGAGAACAAAGTATCCTGGGTATCATGAGTAGAACAATTTAGAAAACAAAGTATCATGGGTGTCATGAGTAGAATAATTTAGAGAACAAAGTATCCTGGGTGTTCTGTAGAACATCGATGACTGGAAATTTCATGCAGGCGTTTTCCACTGACCTTGTTCTATTTCTGACAGAAATAGAAGAACAAACAAACAAACAATTCATTGTATAAATGAAACAGTTTTAACTAAAAAAAAGGTAAAGTCGGGAGATGGGAACCAGCATCATTGTACACGGTTTTAAACCATAAGTGCTCTGCCACTAGTACGGACAGCTGATAAGAAACTGTCCGCCTGTGTCGCCGTCCGCATGCAACTTTGTAGCTACAGCGACGTTCTTTCATTTATTCCAGAGTGTTAACTCAGGTACCCATTTCCTAGAGGTTGGGTAAACCTCAAGAAACATCCGGTTTCAAACACTAGCCATGGGCTGCAGCGAGTTGCAGCTGGATTTAAAAGGGAGTCTCCTATCGACTGCAGTAATGTGGCCCCTGAAGTTCTAACTGTGGACATGCTTATGATTGGAAAAATTAAAGTGAAGACTAGCTTAAAACATAAATCCTAGCAAAAACAAGGAACTATGTAACACTATTAATATTTTCAATTCCTTCTTGTACGTCTTCTTCTTCTTTTTTCTAATCTTAGAATGCTTTGCAACATCAGGGCAGGAAGAGGAGATCTCTGGAATGGGCCCTTCTGTTCGCTTCGTATAAAGTACTTTTCAGTGTCTCTGATATTTCTGCGGTCCATATTCTGCGTGGTCGACCTCTGGTTCTGTTACCTCTGTATCTGTATAACAGTGCTCTCTGTGGGCCCCTGTCTCCTGCCAATCTTGCAACATGGCCAAACCATTTGATTTGTTGTCTACCTATAAAGTTCAGTATTGGTTTTTGTCGCTTCCTGGTGGAGCCGGACTATTTTCAAAAATGACCTTGGCTTTCAGGTCGACCCAGCCTTGAGTGGGTACCGGGTGCAGTCCCGGGAAGTAAAGGCGACCGGCGTGATACTGACCACATCATCCATCTTGTGCTGATTGGTCTATAAAAATATAGGTCTAGCCCTATATGCCCTATACGCCTAAAGGCTTGGAAGAGGGTCCTTTACTTTTTTTTTTTAATTGGTTTTTGTGCCGACTCTCCTCTAGACATTGTTCCTAAGTCGATCTCTCCTCGTTACACCGAGCAAAGTATATGAACATTTCATTTCTGTCGTGACTATTTTCCTTCTGCTTCTAAAAACATTGTCCATATTTGTGTTCTTCTTCTTCTTCTTCTTCTTCTTCTTCTTCTTCTTCTTCTTCTTCTTCTTCTTCTTCTTCTTCTTCTTCTCTTCTTCTTCTTCTTCTTTCTTCTTCTTATTCTTCTTCTTCTTCTTCTTCTTCTTCTTCTTCTCTTCTCTCCCATCCACCTTGTACCTCATCGAAGTTTCGGGGGGAGGATGTAATGTTCGTGATGAGCTCTGTCAAGAGCACTATTGAGACTGATGTTCATTTCTGTAAGGTGTTTGTCCCTGTGTCCATGTGGGTCAGGGGCACCCATTGTGGGGGAAATCAAGAATAGAGACACTGTCGGCCATCCCCAAAAAAGCATGTTGTAAGAGTCAACTAATTGGGGAGCTTCCTTTGAAGACGGAGTTTGCGTCTGCCGGAGAGGCAAGGAACCAACAGTCTGTATTCAAGAGAATGAGATCTGTAAAACTGATTTGCACACGCCACACTAAGGTTCTGGAGCAGACTGCAGTTCAGTAGTGAACCTTTCCGCCAGAGTTTACAGCTCGGAGTGAACGCGAAGAAGAAGAAAAGAAGAAGAATTTCTGTAAGGCTTCGTTCTTAATGCCATCACTCCATATTTTTCGACGGTCTTCCACTCGCTTTTATACCAGTTTGTAACGTTTTAGTATGGCTCGCTGTGGCAGATAGTACCAGGGGCCATTCTTGTTAGGTGTCCAAACCATTTCATTGTTGTTCTTTGATGACCTGTAAGACTGGCTTCTATCCCTAGCATTCGTCTGATTTCATGATTTTGTATTCTGTCTTTCCTTGAAACTCCTGCAGCTCTTCTAAGGCATTTCATCTCTGTTTCACAATTTTACGTTCATTGAGAGGATTGTAAGTGTCCACGTTTGGCACTCGATAGCCATAGTATTGGCTCCCCCCCTCAAAAAAAATAGTTCTGATAAGATTCACTTTAGTACTCGGAGGTATCTGCTTGTGTGTCAACAGGGGAGAGATAGTTGGACCCATTACTTGATTAGCTTTGGCACATCTGGAGATAATTTCTCTGTCCAGTTTTTCCGTCTGAAGTAAAAATTGCTCCAAATACTTAAATTCCTCTGTTTGTCTCAGGGTGTTGTTTTTTAATTTAATTTCTAAATTGTCTTATGTCTTCCTATCATCATTGTCTCTGTCTTCGTAGTGTTTATTTTCAAATTATATTCCACCCCTTTGTTACTAATTCGATTTAGGTGGTTCTGTAGGCATTCCATATTTTCTGCTATGAGTACCTATATTTGTGTTCACCAGCTGTAAACTTTAACAGAAAGTTCTGGTTCGTGGGCCACTTCTGGACTTTAGACTTGTTCCAGAACTTCTATTCTACAGATGTGGCTTATTTGTATGTTGATTCTTCACGTCCCAGTCTTCGTTTTAGTTGAGGCTGATAACTTCATTGCAATCAGATCATCCCATTCTTGCTCCGCTCCTGTCCCGAATGAAAATCAAGTCAGATGTTTTCTCTCTGCCGTATTTGAAAAACTGATGAAATAACAATTGTCCCGGCACAATCCAGAAATATGTGCACGCAGTAAATAAATAAACCAGTTGCCAGAGGTGCCAAAGCCAACAGTTGCCATCAGAAATGCAGTTTGTCATTGATGGAAGTATTGGAGCATGATAAGATGGCTATACACAAGTAGAATTCCCCCGTGTGGGTTCCGGGGCCCCATTGTGGGGAAAACAAGAATAGACCCACTGCCTCCCCAAAAGCATGTCGTAAGAGTCGACTAATTGGGGAGCTTCCTTTGAAGTCGGAGTGCATCTGCCGGAGAGGCAAGGAACTAACAGTCTGTATTCAAGATAATGAGATCTGTAAAACTGATGCACACGCAACACTCAGGTTCTGGAGCAGGACTGCAGTTCAGTAGTGGACGAGCAACCAGAACCTTCCGACAGAGTTTACAGCTGGTGAACGAAAAGAAGAAGAAGACAAGTGGAATTATTCATCATCATGTAGCAGGTCCTTTGCAGAACGTCGCTCTCATCACAGTCTGCCTGAAAGAAACTCGTTCTCTCGCCAGATCTCCCACCTCATGTACTTTCATACTCAAGGAGTCACTTATATCCTGTGCCCATCTTCGTGATGGTCAGCCCCTGCCCCTCCTTCCTGGTACCATGCCTTCTGCTATAATTTTTTTCCATCCGTCGTGGCGCTTGATATGACCAAAATATTTCAGCTTCCGAGAAAGGATGCTGTTTATTAGCCAATCTTCCTTGATGTTCAGATCTTTTAAGATGTCAATATTCCTCATCTTCTTTGTCCAAGATATTCTGAGAATCTTTCTATAACATTTAAGCTCAAAAGCCCCTATTCTCTGTCTTAAGGACTGAGAGATAGTCCACGACTCACATCCTTATGTAGCCACAGGGAAGATGCATGCTCTCAGAATTCTAATTTTGATCTCCTTGCTGGTGCTTAACCATAGACTTTTAAGGCTGTTCAATCTTTGCATTGCTATGGCCATCCTCCTTTTAATTTCTGTCGAACAGTCTCCATTGTTGTTTATTATAGAGCCTAGATATTCAAAGTTTGTGACTATTTCAATTTCTTCATCATTTCTTGTTATTTTTGGGTGACAGCCAGTTTTATCTGTGGACATTATATTTGTTTTCTTTAAATTCAAGAACAGATTTTGATCTTCACAATATAAAACTTTCTATTCCCTTTACGCTGTTCGAAAGAAGGACTATGTCATCTGCGTAGCGGAGTTCCGGAATAGGTTGCCACCAATTTTGGGAGGATCATAACTGTCACAAGTCTGGTCATTTTTGACATTTCTCATTATATTTTCTGCGTATATATTGAATAGGTATGGTGAGAGAATGCACCCCTGCCTCACCTCTTTTGCACCTCGAACCAGTCAGATGTTTCACCAGCTGCTCTGATGGCTGCTTGTTGTTCATGTTAGAGATTTTCAATTAAATGCACTAAATGCACTGGAAACCCTATACTTTTCATAATAGTCCACAGTTTGTGGTGCTGGACACAATCAAATGCCTTACTATAATCAATAAAACAAGCATGAAGATCTACATTGTATTCTCTGCATTTTTCAAAAATTATTCTCATATTAAATATGTGATCCCTGGTCCCTCTACCCTGTCTGAAACCTGCTTGTGCTTCATGTAGTTCATAATGTAATTCCCTTTCAATCCTTTTCATGATAATTCGTAAGAGGATTTTTCTAGCATGACTTATTAATGCGATGGTACGGTAGTTGGAGCATAGTTTTGGATTTCCTTTCTTTGGGAGAGGGATATAGATTGTTCTTTTCCAGGCTTTAGGCCAAATGCCACTATTCCAGATCTTCGAGCACAGTGCATGGTAGATTCGGACGCTGGCCTCTCCTCCTGCTTGAATTAGTTCTGCTGGTATTTCGTCGCAACCTGGTAACTTTCCTTTCATCAGGCTGTGTATTGCTGATCATACCTCATCCAGTAAAGGCTCTGGTTCTTTTTCATAACTTTCACAAGTTGTTTTTGAATTACCTGTCACATCCTCATACCTTTCTATACAGTATTCTTTCCATCTTTCTAATATGTCTTTGGTTTCCGTTAATGTGTTACCGTTTGTATCACTTATTACATGTAAAGAGGGCCTGAATTCGCATTTCAATGTTTCAATTTCTTTAAACATGTCTCTGTCTCTTCCTTGCATCTGGAGTTGTTCAATTCTATTACAGGTATTTATAATAAACTGTTTTTTATCTCCTCTGATAGCTCTTCTGATTTCTTTCGTGTAGTTCCTATATGCATGGCTATTTTTTTCTGTCCCTACCTGCTTTAAATTATTTCTCTCTTCTATCAGCTTGAAAGTTTTTTACTGTAATTATTACATAAGGTATTTCACCAGCTCACACATAAACCGGCTATACTGGGGCCATACTGAGTACCGGGACGCAACCTTCGCACAAATGAAAGACATTCCACATGAAAACCTCAGCTCACAGTGCTGCAACCAAGCATTAAACCCAGTAGCTCAGGCAGCGAAACTGCAAACTACCATCCTTTTGTGGAAACTGCATTAGCAAAGGGCTGTTGAAAGCAAAAATAACTTTGAAGCTAAACATTCTGCCATGCCTAATCCTCAATTTTAGACCGGAAGTCCAACATCTTTAGCTCTCAGGCAGAAAATCACATAATGTCTAGTTATTCAAAGTTAATTTTCCTCCACTGTATTAATGAATGAATCAATCAAGAATTGACTTCACTGCACTTAGCACATCCCTACACCTGCTCCGTCTCCTTCCTTAGTTGCCAGCGAAGAGTTGATATGCTAATAGTACCAGTTGCAACCTGATTAAAAGTCCGAATTTGTTTCCCCTTTAATGCTGAATATCTTTCAGAACCTGAACCCCCCCTCTTCCCAAACGTCTTTTTAATTAGTCCTTTGTTGCATGGATTCCCTATATTTTCTTTTGCATTGTCCATCCGATCCCATAGAGCCTTTATCACATCCATTTTATCATATTGTGTTGTTCGTCTATCTTCTGCTGCCAGGCAGGCCGATGCACCATGCCTGAGGGATGTACGCCATCCAGAAAGGTCTTGCGCAGCAGCCTCCCACGTCGCTGTGTTGATGCCAAAAAAAAATAGAAGCAGTTTTGAGAGTGTCCTTAAAGCACTTTTTCTGCTCTCCCTGGTACCTGTTCCATTATTAATATTATAATATAATTATAATTATAATATTATTAATACTTTGCTTCAGCAGGCATATCACAGATGCAGAATGAGACAAAAGACAATTTAAAATGTGTGACTTAATAAACGAAACAAACCGACAAGAGACTCACCTGTCCAGGATTTCTGGGATCAGTTGCTGGAGGTTGAACTGAACTTTCTGACCCTGAAAATGTGGTCAGACTTTTTAGTTATCAACAATGTTATCTTTTTGTCTCTTACAGTTTTTATCTTTTTCATTTTCTTTTACTTCTTCTTCTTCGTGTGAGTTCTAGGGTGCCATTGTGGGAAAACTAGAACAGACCCACTGCCTCACATCAAACATGTCAAAAGAGTTGACTTATTGGGGCATTCTTCAAAGTCAGAGGCCTGAGAGGCAAGGAACCAATGGTGTGCATACAGCTAGCCCTAGGCCAGATCTGTAAAGTTGATGTACATGCAACACTCAGGTTCTAAAACAAGACCAAATTCTAGAGGTGAACAAACAACCAGAACTTTCTGCAGTGAAAACAAAGAGGAAGAAGCAGAAGAATATACTGTCACACTGCATACCCCTAGGCATATATTTGGAAAATGTCTCATGAAACTATAGCAGACATGGAAGTCCACTGCAATAGAAGTCTAACTTTCACAAGAAGCATAGTTTTCGTTCCAAGCCGGTAACTGCCTCTTCTTCTTCTTTGCGTTCAGTTTCGTATGCTCAGATCAGACCATCAGGTGGATTCCCTCTATAAACTCGCATGTCAGCTGCAGGTCCTGCATGGTTCCCCATAGCTTGCTCTGCACACTTTGCTCTTGAGGCCAGGTGTCTTTTCAAAGTTGTAGGTAGAGTGGGCAGGTCTGCAGAATGTGCTCCGGTGTTTGTGGTCCTGTCTGACAGGCACACTGTGGGGACTGTACAATCTTTATTTTATGCATGTGGTAGTTGAGCCTATAGTGTCCTGTTTGCAGATGGACAATTGTTGTTTGTTGCTTTCTGTTGAGTCTGCTGATGGGGTCTTGTGGATGTTTACTGTTAGTTTGTTCTCTCCACAATTACTTGTATTTTCCTTTGATTAGTGTTCTGATTTCTTGTAATGACAATGAATGGGCTTGTTGTTTCTCCTTTGTTCCATTTTTTGCAAGTCTGTCTGCTAACTCATTTCCTGGTATGCCACAGTGAGCCGGGATTCTCTGGAGAACGATTTGATTATTTTCTGTGAGTCTGTTTAACTGGGGGGTCAGTTCTCTCTGTTTAGCTGATGGGTCACTTCTCTCTCCATGTTATCTCATAGATCCCTCTGAGTCGCCTGGAAGAGTGACATGCAGTCACAAAGAAAAACTATTTTGCTGTTTTTAATTTGCAGGTAACTGAAATGCCAGGTCTACAGGCTACTTCCAGCCGGCTTCTAAAGCTACAGCCCATGATGAATGAGAAGCTCAATCAACAGAAGTGAGGTTAAACAGTCATGAGCAGGACGTGGGGATTCCTTGGGTGAGTCCAATATCAGAGCAAAGAATCATTAAATCAATCAGGAAACCACCAGCACAAGACAACTATTTTATTTTGGACAGATCAGAACAAGTCATTATCCTCCGCCTCAGAACAGGGCACAACCGATTACGTAACCACATGTACACAAAAATCAAGGTAGGTGTATCAGCCATGTGCACATGTGGAAAGGTGCCCCAGACAGCAGAGCATGTACTTCAGGACTGCACCGAATTTGACACATTAAGGCAAACCTTTTGGCCAGAAAGAACAACAGTGGAACGTAAACTCTATGGACCACTGAATGAATTAACAACAACAGTGAAATTTATACAAGAAACAAAATTGCTGATATAGACAACTTATTTCAGGCGAACAAAAGAAGAAGAAGAAGAAGATATCAGAGCACCATGTGTTGGCCCTGCATTTGTTGTTCCTCGTGTTCTGTCCCTGCCTCTTCTTGCAGGCTGACCAGCATTGCTTGGACCGGACAGGTGGGGGCACCAATTCTGAACTAGGAAACAGAGATGAAAACACAACAATGAGATTGTAATGTCCCATGAAACTAACTGGGAAGGCTAACCCTGACAACAAATGCCTGCAGAAGCAGGATGTGTCGGCCGAAAGGTGCAAATATTGCAACAATATTTTAAATCGGCACAATATGTTTATGTCTTTGGATGAACACAGAAGTTTTCTTCTTCTTTTGTCTCCCTCTTCTGTCAGTATAAATATTTTAGAGCTAAAAAATACAAAAATAAGGACACATTTTGTAGGGGGGGTAGTTGTGCATCAGGTTTATGGAGCACGACTATTTATGTTTACTGCCAGATTGGCACTCTATGGATTAGTTGATTACCTGGCTGCTCATCCTCATTGCCCATCAGACAGATCCATAAGCACTCGGATCCCATCTTCAGTATCTCCCTCAGCGTCCAGCGACTGATAACACCTGTTTTGTGTCGGTTTGCTATTCCTCTTTGGCTGCCTGTATAGTGTTCGGGTTTGGAAAAAACCTCCTTTTGGCAGGACATTCTTGTAGTCTTGTCAAGCTTACCAATTAAACACAGTCTCCTGAATCAACCTCCTTGAGAGCACTGAAAGATTAGCTTGGTCCAATGATTCATCTGTGCCAACGATGACCCAGCCATCAACCCACCCGTCATAACAGGTGTGCTCTGACTAAAAAGTCCAATACGAGAGTGGTAGTTTCTGTCACACAGTACACATAAAACGTTGATTTCCTGTGTGGGTTCTGGGGCCCTATTATAGGGGGGGGGGGGGACAGACCCACAGCCTATCCAAGAGCATGTCATAAGAGTCGACTAATTTAGAGCTTCCTTCGAAGTCGGCTTGCATTTGCCTGAGAGGCAAGGAACCAGCAGTCTGCATACAAATGAGTCAGATCTGTAAAACGGATGCACACACAACACTCAGGTTCTGAAACAGGACTGCAGTCCAAAAATTGATAAACAACCAGAACTTTACACCAGAGTTTTCAGCTGGTGAGCGCAAAGAAGAAGATTAAATGTTGATATGCTATCTTTCTGAGGCAGGTTTTCTCACAAATGTCTCCTCTCTATAGCTTGCTGCATTTTGCCTCTTTCAGACTGAGACAGTCTGTCTTTCACTGTCTGCCTCCATAGGAGTCAGTCTGCAGCTGATGTCTCCCAACCAGCGCAGGCATCTTCGCTTCAGTAGAAAGTACATTGTTGGCATTCCTGCTCTTTTGAGGACACATTCTCTGGGGCCAAAATATTTTATTAAAAATTATAAAACGTGGCATATTTAAGACGATACAATTAAACACCAAAAAGAACAGTTTTACTTATATATTAAGCATTGTAATGTTCTTCTTCTTCAGCATTCCGAGCCCTTGAGGTTCATTGCTGCAGATATCACCCGCCTCCATTCATCTCTCTGGTTGGCCTTCTTCAGCATTCCGAGCCCTTGAGGTTCATTGCTGCGGATATCACCCGCCTCCATTCATCTCTCTGGTTGGCTTTCTTCTTCAGCATTCTGAGCCCTTGAGGTTCATTGCTGCAGGTATCACCCGCCTCCATTCATCTCTCTGATTGGCCTTCTTCAGCATTCCGAGCCCTTGAGGTTCATTGCTGCAGATATCATCCGCCTCCATTCATCTCCTGGTTGGCCTTCTTCAGCATTCCGAGCCCTTGAGGTTCATTGCTGCAGATATCACCCGCCTCCATTCATCTCTCTGGTTGGCCTTCTTCAGCATTCCGAGCCCTTGAGGTTCATCGCTGCAGATATCACCTGCTTCCATTCATCTCTCTGGTTGGCCTTCTCTTTCCATTTCTTTGTTTTTGTTTTGTTTTGATCTCATCAGTGTTATTATACCATGCATTATAAAAACAGCCATTGGGCCAGCAAGGATTATAATGTCCTATTTGTCTCTGCAGAGGCATACAGAGTCCCCAAAATAATAGGCCCTTTGCCAAGGCCATAAGTGACAGTAATACTGTAGTTAGTGAGTATTCATATACAAAGGAACCAGTTGGAAGGGGCAAAGTCAGGAATGGAGGCTTCTGGGGGTGGAGGGAGAATCGGACCAGGGTTTCTCTAAGGCTAATAATGAGAGGAGGATGGGGCAAAAGAACATGGATAGCAGTATTTATTCATTTATCTTTTTATCTGCAACATATAAAACTTTAAAAATATAGACAAAGTGAAAGCGCCATTAGAACAAGAGCTGGCATCACAGACTGGTTCCCAGTAACATCAGGAGTAAGACAAGGTTGTGTATTATCACCTTTACTTTTCATAATATTTATGGACAATATTAATAAAATAGACATAACACCAACAGATGTCGATAAACAGGAGGACTTCAAAGAGCTGCTCTTTGCCGACGATCAATGCATATTTCACAATGATAGTAAACAGCTGCAAGACCACATAAACCTACTACACGACAGTTGCCTCAAGCATCATATGAAGATCAATACTGAAAAGACAGAAGTCATGAGCATAAGTAGAGAGCAACAGACCATCGACATAAAGATTCTAGATCACAGCCTAAAACAAGTGCAAGAATTTAAATACTGGGAAGTATCTTTACATCCAATGGTAAAATAGACAGAGAGATCGAAGCAAGAATCCAACAAGCCAACAATGTCGCATACCAGCTTGCCCCAATTTTAAAACACCCTGCTGTCCCAGCTGAGATAAAAAGACAAATTATAAATACAATCTTTATACCGACATTAGGTTATCAATGTCAGACTTGGACATTAACAAAAGAACACGAGAGAAGACTAACCACCTGTGAAATGAGATTTTTGAGAATGGCTGCGAATAAAACCAGAAGAGATCGAGTGAGAAACGATGTGATTACAAGAACTATTGGAACCATACCCATCGTTAAATTTATTGAGAAGCAAAGAATGAAATGGTTTGGTCACCTAATGAGAATGGAACCAACGATGCCAGCATCAAGAGCATACAACATGAAAATCGAAACACCAAGAGGCAGGGGAAGACCAAGAAGAAGATGGATTGAAGGAGTCACTGACAACTTGAGACTTCATAACATCACGGCATATGAAGCGACTGAGCGCGCCCTGGCTCGGTTGCCGATCATCTGATAGACTGCGACGCCTAGCGGCACAAGCAGTTTTTGACAAAAGAAGAAGAAGATATAAAACTTTAAAAACTTGGGAAAACATGTTCTATAGATGAAAAAATATGGTATGTTGCCCAATGTTTACCTCCATGGCACCAAGTACATCCAGCCTCACAGCCGTTGCAATCATCGACCTCACCACACAGTACATGAAGGTGGCCAGGGTAGTATTCTCATCCACACCAAGTCCGGCCAAAATAGCTCCATACACAACTGGCAAATGACAATGTGGCAAGTCTACTATAGCAGAACTGAGCTGTTGAGCCAGGTAGCTGTAGGTGAAGCATGCCACTTCAAGGAATGATTTACCCTGAAATGAACAGTATGAATAATTCAATCAAGAATCTTTAAAGCTTCAGATAGCTAGGACATACTCAGAGGTTGGAAGAGACTGTAGGGATCAGGTTATCTGGTACTCACAGTTTCAACCTTGTAGCAAACAGATCACCCCATAGTTGCTCCATTTCTGCACCAACAAAAAACCCACAGAATGTCCTTTGTGAACAAAATGACACAGACTGCCATCTCAGCCAAGCCAGTAGTGTACAAAAGCATTAAATGCAGAAGACAACCGTTAGAAGTGCCAACACAAAACAGTATAGACAAGAAATGCTGAAATGCACACTCTTAATCACATAAAACATAAACAGTTCTCTGGCAATAAGCTATTCACAATTTGTCTGAGCCAGTATACAAACCGGGTTGGGCACAAATGAAAAGGCATTCCACATGAAATTCAGAGCTCACAGTGTCACACCATGCAGTCAGCTTAGTAGCTGGGTAACAGAACTACACCCTTTCAGTCCATACATAAAGGAAAATGTGACAGCTAACTACTGCTAGAAGCAAAAAACTTGTCACACCATGTCTATCTGCAATACTGACCAGAAGTCAGACTACAAGGATATTCTCTATGCTGAATTAAAAAAATGCTGTAAAATGTCAGCATCTCACTCTACTATGAAACAATGATGTGTGCAGGTGGGACATGAATGATACAGGTGATGAATTGATGAAAGTAGGATGTTGAAAATCAGGAGGGAATAATGAAAATTGAAGAAAGAGGTTTGAGGTTTGAACACGGGTAGTAACCCATAAGTGCTTCGTTTTTCTTCTAGCTCGTCTGAGTCCGAAGAAGTTCAGCACAGTGCATAGACTCTGTAGCACCAGCGAGGATCCTGAAATACTTTGGTTAGGTTTTTAACTACAAATTTGTGCCTGGACAGTGCCGTTAAGCAGAGGGATTTTTTACGTGCGCATCAATGCACACGGGCGTCCGATCTCACTACCCAGAGACCAGGGGAAATTAATAGAACTCCAAGTCCAAGTGACAAAATCCTAGCCCTCAGTTTGAACCCGGAACCTCTAGCACTTGAGGTGGACATCATGCCTCGAGACCACGCAGCCCCCTAAATGAAAGAAAGAAAAACAATGACTGCACACAAGCTAAAAGCTGAACGTCTGAGAAGTAACACCTCAGATATTTGTGATGACGACAGTGATACTGTGACGATGACAGTGATACTGTGATGATGACAGTGATACTGTGATGATGACAGTGATACTGTGACAATGACAGTGATACTGTGATGATGACAGTGATACTGTGATGATGACAGTGATACTGTGATGATGACAGTGATACTGAAATCTCATGAAATAGCAGAAGACTTTACAGTTAGGTTTAAGTTAATCACATCAAACAGAGTAGGTGACTTTTCATTCACAAGTTTGTTGGGCTTGTCGACTTTCCTGAAAGTTACAGGTGTGTCCCTTTCTGCTGTTTGCTTTCTGTGATGTCTTGCATTTATGTTTTCATTTCAAGAAAGAGAATGCCTGTGACATAGGTTGCTGCACTCTCTAGGTGGGTTGTGTAAGGGCCAGTTTCTCCATGTTTTTGGAGTGTTAAAAGCGATGGCGTGCTAAAAAATACAACATGCGATATCAACGGCATTGCGGAACACCCCTGTAACCTTGTGTCAAGGTGACAGGTTCAGGAACTACCAATCAGAAGTGAGCTAGTGTGTATATAGGCAGCATGGGGAGATCAACATGACTTTTACCGACTTTTCATAAAGTGCGCTGGTCTTGCTAGTTACATCGGCCATTATAGCCGACTATGATTCCTATAGTTAGTTAGTTAATCAACAGATTATCCTCACTGCACAGACAAGACCATAAGCGCTCAGATCCCATCTTCAGTGTATTAGTCTTCAGCATGTAGTGACTGATAACACCAATTCTGTGTTAGTTTATATGATTCCTATGTTTCCCTTGTAATACAATATAACACCATTTCTGTGTTAGTTTATTTGATTCCTATGTTCCCCTGTACTACAATATAACACCAGTTCTGTGTTAGTTTATTTGATTCCTATGTTCCCTTGTAGTACAATATAACACCAGTTCTGTGTTAGTTTATTTGATTCCTATCTTCCCCTGTACTACAATATAACACCAGTTCTGTGTTAGTTTATTTGATTCCTATGTTCCCTTGTAGTACAATATAACACCAGTTCTGTGTTAGTTTATTTGATTCCTATGTTTCCCTGGTAGTACAATATAACACCAGTTCTGTGTTAGTTTATTTGATTCCTATGTTTCCCTCTTTCCTGTGTTAGTTTATCTGGTTGATTCCTATGTTTCCCTCTACAATATAACACCAGTTCTGTGTTAGTTTATTTGATTCCTATGTTTCCCTCTAGTACAATATAACACCAGTTCTGTGTTAGTTTATTTGATTCCTATGTTTCCTTATAGTACAATATAACACCAGTTCTGTGTTAGTTTATATGATTCCTATGTTCCCCTCTAGTACAATATAACACCAGTTCTGTGTTAGTTTAATTGATTCCTATGTTCCCCTCTAGTACAATATAACACCAGTTCTGTGTTAGTTTAATTGATTCCTATGTTCCCCTCTAGTACAATATAACACCAGTTCTGTGTTAGTTTATATGATTCCTATGTTCCCCTCTAGTACAATATAACACCAGTTCTGTGTTAGTTTATTTGATTCCTATGTTTCCTTATAGTACAATATAACACCAGTTCTGTGTTAGTTTATATGATTCCTATGTTCCCCTCTAGTACAATATAACACCAGTTCTGTGTTAGTTTAATTGATTCCTATGTTCCCCTCTAGTACAATATAACACCAGTTCTGTGTTAGTTTATATGATTCCTATGTTCCCCTCTAGTACAATATAACACCAGTTCTGTGTTAGTTTATTTGATTCCTATGTTCCCCTGTAGTACAATATAACACCAGTTCTGTGTTAGTTTATTTGATTCCTATGTTCCCCTCTAGTACAATATAACACCAGTTCTGTGTTAGTTTTTAATTTGATGTTTCCTATGTTCCCCTGTACTACAATATAACACCAGTTCTGTGTTAGTTTATTTGATTCCTATGTTCCCCTGTACTACAATATAACACCAGTTCTGTGTTAGTTTATTTGATTCCTATGTTCCCCTGTAGTACAATATAACACCAGTTCTGTGTTAGTTTATTTGATTCCTATGTTTCCCTCTAGTACAATATAACACCAGTTCTGTGTTAGTTTATTTGATTCCTATGTTCCCTGTAGTACAATATAACACCAGTTCTGTGTTAGTTTATTTGATTCCTATGTTCCCCTCTAGTACATATAACACCAGTTCTGTGTTAGTTTATTTGATTCCTATGTTCCCTGTAGTACAATATAACACCAGTTCTGTGTTAGTTTATTTGATTCCTATGTTCCCCTCTAGTACAATATAACACCAGTTCTGTGTTAGTTTTATTTGATTCCTATGTTCCCTCTAGTACAATATAACACCAGTTCTGTGTTAGTTTATTTGATTCCTATGTTCCCCTCTAGTACAATATAACACCAGTTCTGTGTTAGTTTAATTGATTCCTATGTTCCCTCTAGTACAATATAACACCAGTTCTGTGTTAGTTTATTTGATTCCTATGTTTCCCTCTAGTACAATATAACACCAGTTCTGTGTTAGTTTATATGATTCCTATGTTTCCCTTATAGTACAATATAACACCAGTTCTGTGTTAGTTTAATATGATTCCTATGTTCCCCTCTAGTACAATATAACACCAGTTCTGTGTTAGTTTATTTGATTCCTATGTTCCCCTCTAGTTAACACCAGTTCTGTGTTAGTACATGTTCCCTCTATATATAACACCAGTTCTGTGTTAGTTTATTTGATTCCTATGTTCCCCTCTAGTACAATATAACACCAGTTCTGTGTTAGTTTAATTGATTCCTATGTTCCCCTCTAGTACAATATAACACCAGTTCTGTGTTAGTTTATATGATTCCTATGTTCCCCTCTAGTACAATATAACACCAGTTCTGTGTTAGTTTATATGATTCCTATGTTCCCCTCTAGTACAATATAACACCAGTTCTGTGTTAGTTTATTTGATTCCTATGTTCCCCTCTAGTACAATATAACACCAGTTCTGTGTTAGTTTATTTGATTCCTATGTTTCCCTCTAGTACAATATAACACCAGTTCTGTGTTAGTTTATATGATTCCTATGTTCCCCTCTAGTACAATATAACACCAGTTCTGTGTTAGTTTATTTGATTCCTATGATTTTCCTTATAGTACAATATAACACCAGTTCGTTATGATTGTCCCCTTATGTTCCTATGTTCCCTCTAGTACAATATAACACCAGTTCTGTGTAGTTTTATTTGATTCCTATGTTCCCCTAGTACAATATAACACCAGTTCTGTGTTAGTTTATTTGATTCCTATGTTCCCTGTAGTACAATATAACACCAGTTCTGTGTTAGTTTATATGATTCCTATGTTCCCTGTAGTACAATATAACACCAGTTCTGTGTTAGTTTATATGATTCCTATGTTCCCTGTAGTACAATATAACACCAGTTCTGTGTTAGTTTATATGATTCCTATGTTCCCTGTAGTACAATATAACACTATCATCTAAAGCAGTGGTCTCCAAACTTTTTCACGTGCCACCCCCATCACCTCTCCCTCGAGTGTCGTGCAAAACACATCACCGCTCCTGTGGTGACCCCCTTGTGTGTCTGGCAAAACAACACCCATGCCCCCCCCCCCCCCCCCCCCCCCCCCCCCAACAATAATCAAAAAGGACCAGACAATCAAACTAAGATCTTTGTTTAGACACCGTTGAGAGAGATCTGCTCCACTCATTTGTCTGGGGTAAGCATGAATGACAAAAAAAAATCTGAACAGTGAAAGAGATCTGCTTCAACTTATTTATCTGGTGTATGAATGATGAGAAATGAGAACAGGGAAAGATATCTGTGCTAACCTACTTGTCTGGTGTGTGACAGACAAGAAATGAGAACAGTGAAAGAGATCTGCCCGGACCTACTTGTCTGGTGTATGACAGACAAGAAATGAGAACAGGGAAAGAGATCTGCCCTGACCTACTTGTCTGGTGTATGACGGACAAGAAAAGAGAACAAGGAAAGAGATCTGCCTTGACCTACTTGTCTGGTGTATGACAGACAAGAAATGAGAACAGTGAAAGAGATCTGCCCTGACCTACTTGTCTGGTGTATGACAGACAAGAAATGAGAACAGTGAAAGAGATCTGCCCTGACCTACTTGTCTAGAGTTCTGCCCTGACCTACTTGTCTAGAGATCTGCCCTGACCTACTTGTCTAGAGTTCTGCCCTGACCTACTTGTCTAGAGATCTGCCCTGACCTACTTGTCTGGTGCTGGCTCTCCTGGCGATGTGGTTTGTGGTGTAGGCCTCACATATTTTGTCCAGCTGGACCAAAGTATGGTGTTCCGTCTGCTCACTTTTTATAACATTCCTGTTAACTATGGCACTGTGAGCTGCTCTCACAAATGGAAGACTTAGAGATCCTGTTGACACAAGCACAGACACTAAATTTACTCTCAGTCAAAACCTGCACATTAATTAAACTCATTCCATTCAAAGTAAAATAATAAACGTTTCCTATAAAGTGCTCCAAATAACCCTACGGTGGAAAGTTTTGGTTGTTCATCTACTTTTACACTTTAGCTATGGTAAGGAGACAGTGGATCTATTCTTTATTTCCCCCACAATGGGGCCCCAAAGACCACACAATAGGGCCCTGGTACCCACGCATTGGGGCCCCAATACCCACACAATGGGGCCCCAGAGACCACAAAATGGGGCCCAGGAACCCACAAATGAAGTCCTCGAACTAACACAGGGAAAACATTCAAAAACCAAATTAGATCTCTTTTTTAATGTTCATTGTTTACTTAACACAGGAAACATTCTGGGAAGTGAAGGTGACCACACAATCCACCAAGTGCCGATCTCTAAGAGCATGGAAAAGGGTCCTTAATTTTACTTAGTTAGTTAGTCAGTTAGTTAGTTAGTTAGTTAGATAGTTGACAGATTATCATCACACCAGTTCTGTGTTAGTTTATTTGATTCCTATGTTCCCCTCTAGTACAATATAACACCAGTTCTGTGTTAGTTTATTTGATTCCTATGTTCCCTGTAGTACAATATAACACCAGTTCTGTGTTAGTTTATTTGATTCCTATGTTTCCTTATAGTACAATATAACACCAGTTCTGTGTTAGTTTATATGATTCCTATGTTCCCTGTAGTACAATATAACACCAGTTCTGTGTTAGTTTATATGATTCCTATGTTCCCCTGTACTACAATATAACACCAGTTCTGTGTTAGTTTATTTGATTCCTATGTTCCCTGTAGTACAATATAACACCAGTTCTGTGTTAGTTTATTTGATTCCTATGTTTCCTTATAGTACAATATAACACCAGTTCTGTGTTAGTTTATATGATTCCTATGTTCCCTGTAGTACAATATAACACCAGTTCTGTGTTAGTTTATATGATTCCTATGTTCCCTGTAGTACAATATAACACCAGTTCTGTGTTAGTTTATTTGATTCCTATGTTCCCCTCTAGTACAATATAACACCAGTTCTGTGTTAGTTTATTTGATTCCTATGTTCCCTGTAGTACAATATAACACCAGTTCTGTGTTAGTTTATTTGATTCCTATGTTTCCTAATAGTACAATATAACACCAGTTCTGTGTTAGTTTATATGATTCCTATGTTCCCTGTAGTACAATATAACACCAGTTCTGTGTTAGTTTATATGATTCCTATGTTCCCCTGTACTACAATATAACACCAGTTCTGTGTTAGTTTATTTGATTCCTATGTTCCCTGTAGTACAATATAACACCAGTTCTGTGTTAGTTTATTTGATTCCTATGTTTCCTTATAGTACAATATAACACCAGTTCTGTGTTAGTTTATATGATTCCTATGTTCCCTGTAGTACAATATAACACCAGTTCTGTGTTAGTTTATATGATTCCTATGTTCCCTGTAGTACAATATAACACCACTTGTCTGGTGTGTGACAGACAAGAAATGAGAACATGGAAAGAGATCTGCTCTGACCTACTAGTCTGGTGTATGACAAACAAGAAATGAGAACAGTGAAAGAGATCTGCCCTGACCTACTTGTCTGGTGTATGACAAACAAGAAATAAGAACAGGGAAAGAGATCTGCCCTGACCTACTTGTCTGGTGTATGACAGAGAAGAAATGAGAACAGTGAAAGAGATCTGCCCTGACCTACTTGTCTGTTGTATGACAGACAAGAAATGAGAACAGTGAAAGAGATCTGCCCTGACCTACTTGTCTGGTGTGTGACAGACAAGAAATGAGAACAGTGAAAGAGATCTGCCCGGACCTACTTGTCTGGTGTATGACAGACAAGAAATGAGAACAGGGAAAGAGATCTGCCCTGACCTACTTGTCTGGTGTATGACGGACAAGAAAAGAGAACAAGGAAAGAGATCTGCCTTGACCTACTTGTCTGGTGTATGACAGACAAGAAATGAGAACAGTGAAAGAGATCTGCCCTGACCTACTTGTCTGGTGTGTGACAGATAAGAAATAAGAACAGCCAAAGAGATCTGCCCTGACCTACTTGTCTAGAGATCTGCCCTGACCTACTTGTCTAGAGATCTGCCCTGACCTACTTGTCTAGAGATCTGCCCTGACCTACTTGTCTAGAGATCTGCCCTGACCTACTTGTCTGGTGCTGGCTCTCCTGGCAATGTGGTTTGTGGTGCAGGCCTCACACATTTTGTCCAGCTTGACCAAAGTATGGTGTTCCGTCTGCTCACTTTTTATAACTTTCCTGTTAACTATGGCACTGTGAGCTGCTCTCACAAACGGAACATTCAGAGATCCTGTTGACACAAGCACAGACACTAAATTTACTCTCAGTCAAAACCTGCACATTAATTAAACTCATTCCATTCAAAGTAAAATAATAAACGTTTCCTATAAAGTGCTCCAAATAACCCTACGGTGGAAAGTTTTTTGTTGTTCATCTACTTTTACACTTTAGCTATGGTAAGGAGACAGTGGATCTATTCTTTATTTCCCCCACAATGGGGCCCCAAAGACCACACAATAGGGCCCTGGTACCCACGCATTTGGGGCCCCAATACCCACACAATGGGGCCCCAGAGACCACAAAATGGGGCCCAGGAACCCACAAATGAAGTCCTCGAACTAACACAGGGAAAACATTCAAAAACCAAATTAGATCTCTTTTTTAATGTTCATTGTTTACTTAACACAGGAAACATTCTGGGAAGTGAAGGTGACCACACAATCCACCAAGTGCCGATCTCTAAGAGCATGGAAAAGGGTCCTTAATTTTACTTAGTTAGTTAGTCAGTTAGTTAGTTAGTTAGTTAGATAGTTGACAGATTATCATCACCGCACATCGAACCATTCTGTCCATAAGTGCTCGAATCCCCTACTTAGTAAATCCCGCAGTGTGTAACGGCTCACACCAGTTCTGTGTTGGTTTCTTATTCTTCTTTGGCTTCCTGCATAGTGCTCTTGTCTGGCCACATCCTTTTAACATGTTGTTCTTGCAGTCTGGTCAAGTTGCAGATACACAGTAAACACTTGGTTCTCACAAACGTCTGTTCCATGGCTCGTTCACCCTCCACAGAAGCTTTACCTGCAAGCCGATCAGCTTGCTCATTTCCTTGCACCACTGCATTTATTTTGCTTAGTAAAATATAGTCACCCCCTATCTAAGTAGGGAAACAAACATGACATCATGCATGAACTGAACATCAAGAAGAATTGGCTCATAAACAACATCCTGTCCCTAAAGTTAGGGTATTTTAGACACGTCAACTTCTATGGTAGTCTGGAGAGAACGGTGATGAAGGGGGCAGTTTCTGGGACATGAGGTGCAGGTTGACCCAACCCCCCCCCCTCCCACCCCCCCACCCCTCCCCCCCCCCCACCCCCCCCCCACCCCCCTATCCACCCCCACCCCGTGAATGTGGATACCAGACATTGAGGATGCACTAGTTGTGAAGGCCGACAAAGGTGGAGAATTTGCTAGAGAAAAAGAGACCTTTAAGTGTTCAGTGAAGACAGTGACATTCTGTACAGGACATGCCTATTGGTGATGAGGATTACTACTTGAAAAAAGGAAGTAAAGTAAAGGACCCCTTTCCACGCCTTTAGGCGTATAGGGCATAGAGGGCTAGACCTACATTTTAAAGACCAACGGCACAAGATGGGTGATGTGGTCAGCATCACGCCAGCTGCCTTTACTTCCTGAGACTGCACCCGGTACCCACTCAAGGCTGGGTCGACCTGGGAGCCAAGGTCATTTTTGAATTAGACTACTTAAGGAGGACAGAAAAAGTGCTATAAGGACACTGAAAAATACTCTCAACTCTTTTGGAATCAACACAGCAACTCGAAAGGCTGATGCACAAGACCGTTCTGGATGGCTTACGTCTCTCATGCATGGTGCATCAGCCTGCCAGGCAGTGGAGGTTGTACAGGCAGAGAAACGGAGGCAGACTAGAAAGAATCGTACTGCTAATCTCACACTTACTGCGGCTTCTACCTGTTGTTCGCACTGCTCAAGAACTTTCCAGGCTCATACTGGACTAATCAGCCACCTTCGTACTCATAATCATTGATCATTATTACTACTTTGGATGAAAGTGGTCTTCATCACTCATGATGGACGAACAACACACTACTTATAATCTCTGCCTGGTTCATACTTTAGGTTACTTCATAACCACCAAGACCCCAATATAACCATACAGTTAAATGGAGCTTACAAGGGTTTTTACAGGTAGGATTCTTATCCTTGAGGTGTCAGTAGTAAGGGGACAAAGGGCAATGCAAGCAACTACTTTTGTCTTTGGTAAGCCAGTTTTTTTGTGTCTCTTGAGTGCAGTGATGTTCATTATTGATTAATTTATTTATTTAGTCATTTATCACTTTAAATGTGCATTCAATCATTCATTACTCATTATCTATCCATCTATCAATCTATCCACTTAAACACTATCTTCAAGACCTATTGTACAGTATAAAATCAATACTTTGACTAGTTGTTATATTAGAATACCTGAATTTTCCAGTATGCAGACAAATGCGTGTTTCAGAATCCCAAGGTCTGTTAACAAAAATTTGAACACACTGAAAGATTAACAAACTCTTCGTCAACTCACAGCTGCACTTTACACTAAAGAATATTTTAATACTTCCACTGAAACAAACATGGACACTATCTAAAGCCCATATACGCTAAATCACCACCTGCGAGATGAGGTGCCTGAGAAAAGCAGCCAACCTAACCATCCGAGATCGAGTGAATAATGAAACTATCAGGCAAATTGTGGAAACGACACCTTGTACTAGATTCATTGAGAAACAGCAGATCAAGTGGTTTGGCCATCTCGTTAGAATGCAGCAACATCAAATACCATCACAAGCACTACATCTCAGAAGATCAGATACAAGAGCAAGAGGATGGCCGCGGAAAACATGGATCGACAACGTTAGAGATACTCTACTCCTCCAGGGCATGATAATAGCCAGTGGCAGCCAATGTGCACTGGATCGCAAATTATTCCTCCCCACGTCGCTTAACAGCAGAAGTGGTTTATGATGATGATGACTGAAACAATGGATCATGACCCCATGGGAATTTCCAAAAAGTTAGAAAGTATCATAAAGTTCACTAAAAAATTCTTTAAATGTTCCCAGATTTACGATATTTATTGTGGAATCAAAGCCGAAGGGTTGCGATATCCATAGTACCAAGCCAAAGGGTTTACAACTCATGGTTTCTGGATATTAAAAAAAAAAATAAACAATAAACAAATTTCTTTTAAAATATATGAAGATATATATAAAGAGAGTAATCATTCAACATGAAGAGAGTCAACCACTAAATGGAATATATTCCAGAGGGACCCAAAATATATATGTATACTCCATGACCTCAATCACTGAAGCTAGGATAACAAAAACTGATGTCAAATTGGCTTTATCTTCTTCTTCTTCTTCTTCACATTCACCAGCTGTAAACTCCGGTGGAAAGGTCTGGTTGTTCGTCCACTTCTGGACTGCAGTCCTGTTCCAGAACCTGAGTGTTGCATGTGCATTCATTTGACAGATCTCACACATTAGTGTGCAGACAGATGGTTCCTCTGAAGCAGATGTATTCTGACTTCGAAGGAATCTCCCAATTAGTCGACTCTTACGACTTGCTTTGGGTAGGCAGTGGGTCTATTCTTCTTTTCCCTATAACAGGGCCCTGGAACCCACACAGGAATTTTCTTTATAAAACCCATTTGATTCACTAGAAAAATACCTAATGCTAATTTGAGCAAATATATTCTTGTCCTAACCTAGCAAATGATGCGCTAGTGCAAAGACAGCCAACAACTTTAATTATGGGTGTCGTAAACACATCACTGTAGACAAGTCAGTAAAGTGACATTTATGGGGAACTGACATGCGATGAAGATGGCCAGTCGATTAGCTAACTAATTAAATAAAATAACATAAGACTAATAATAAACTATAGTTTTAAACTGTGGTGTCATATAGGCTGAGATTGTGCAGTCATACATATTGAGATTGTGGAGTCATACATATTGAGATTGTGGAGTCATACATATTGAGACTGTGGAGTCATTTGGATTGAGACTGTGGAGTCATTTGGATTGAGATTGTGGTGTCATGTAGATTGAGATTGTGGAGTCATAAAGATTGAGATTGTGGAGTCATACAGATTGATACATCTTTAAATCATATTAAAAGCTGACATCTTTTATATTTATTGATAAGGACTGCGGTTGAAACAAAAACACAAAAACAAAAAGAAAAAACACCAACAAATTTACTTTTGGCACATCTCCAAGTGCCAGTGTGTTGAATGAATGCCTCAAGTCCCAGACTGTGGGAGAAGCCGCCAGTCGGAAAAGCTGAAGAAGAAACCACAAATCAGTTCAAACATTGCAATTTTCACAGCAAGGAAAAGTAAACTGGATACTGAGCTACAACATCTGTCTGTTTTTCTTTCTATACCAAACGATTCTTCTTTTTCCTCTTTGTATGCTGCTGATGTTGTTAATTCTTCCTTTCATTTCTTCCTCATCATAATCATCATCTTTTTCTTCTGCTACTTGTTTTCCTCATCCTCCTTTTCTTTTTCTTCTTCTTCTTCTTACGTATCCATCCTCACATAACACAACCTTTGAGCTGTTAGAGTCACGGAGGTGTTTCGATGAAAGCACTAGCTTCACTAGAAGTCAGAGTGCATCTACCTGAGAGGCAAGGAACCAACAGTCTGCACACAAATGTGTCAGATCTGTCAAACAAATGCAAATGCAACACTCAGGTTCTGGAACAGGACTGCAGTCCAGAAGTGGACGAACAACCAGAACTTTTCATCATAGTTTACTGCTAGTGAACGCAAAGAAAAAGGAGGAAGAAGGTGCAAATTTATGTATATAAGAACAACATGCTTGATAAAGGGCAGCAGCTGTGTTCTTTGTTTTACCAAACTCCGAGGCTCAAAAAGCTCTCACGACAAACCCACTCATCTGGAGCCAATTATTCCTCTCTGGATCTATCTCTTACACATTCATGTATGACTGTTGGGGGGAGCAGCAGGGGTTGACCCGCTGTCCACTAGCAAGCATGTCTTAGGAGGTGTCTAATGAGGGTTTTTCCTATAAAACTCCCTGTTATTTATATCTTACTTATTCTCCTTCCCTGGAATGTGCTTTATTTCTGGCTGTTTGTTTGTTTTGTGTGTTTGTGTGTGTTTATTCATCTGTGGCTTCAGGAATGTGATTCATCATCATCATTTGCTGTGCCGATAAGAATCAATCTAATAGAGGGGACAGAGAAGTCATGCATCTAGGACGGTATTGATTCCATGTTGAGTACCTTTATAAACTTCTTTTCTTCCTTTCTTTGCATTCACTGGCTGTTAACTCCAGCCGAAAATTCTGGTTGTTTGTCCACTTCTAGACTTTTATCTTATTCCAGAACATGAGCCTTGCGTGCACAGCCACTTTAAAGATCTGGCTTGTGTGTATGCAGACTGTTGGTTTGTTGCCTCTCATATAGATGCACCAACTTTGAAGAAAACAACCCCTAATAGGTAACCTGCTACAACACGCTCTATAGGGAGCCGTCGATTGATACTTTATCCTCCACTATGGGGGGCCTTAACACCAACAAGAACACTTTACAAACAATTTTGCAAAGAACTCATCAAATAACTTTATAACTGACTTTGCAAACAACAAATGACTTTACAAGCAATTTTACAGATGACTTTACAAACAACTCAACAAATGACTTTACAAGCAATTTTACAAATGACTTTACAAACAACTTAACAAATGACTTTACAAGCAACTTAACAAATGACTTTACAAACAACTTAACAAATGACTTTACAAACAACTTAACAAATGACTTTACAAACAACTTAACAAATGACTTTACAAGCAATTTTACAAATGACTTTACAAACAACTTAACAAATGACTTTACAAACAACTCAACAAATGACTTTACAAACAACTCAACAAATGACTTTACAAACAACTTAACCAACAACACATGTTGGTTAGTGCCACCAAAAAAACACCTACCACTGTCCACTGTCTGGAGCAAAGGAACCAGAATCTTCATATCCATATTGACACACACAAGCAGATGTACTTTGGTCTAGATAAACTTTTCTACTTGGAAAGTTCCCCAGATTTCCTGTAATTAACATCAAATTGATAGAGGGAGCCAGCAAGATCCACGTACATTTATCTTACATGCACACGTGCGAACAACTGTGTTGGGATAACTAGACTATTATTTGCAGGATTAAAGGATTTGGGATTCAAATCCACATTAAGGAGGAAAAAAAACTGCACTGAAGATTGCACAGGACAGGAAAGCATGGAAAGTCCTCTCTGAAGCCTCATGTGCCAATAGGCATAACGAGAACTGATGATGATAATGATTGAGGAAAAAAATGTTTAAACATTTTTGATTATTATTATTTGTGTGCATAGTTAATGTTGGTTCTAAATTTGTGCAGCCTAAAATGGGTACAAGGACATTCTTGGAAGTTCTTTTTCTTCTTCTGCGTTCGACATCAATCATGCTAAACACTAAGTCCCGTCTGGGTCACAAAAAGGATTGTGCATTTAACTCTTTGAGTCCTAAGGAACACATCAAGTGTTCATAGGTTACTGCATAGAAGCCCAATGAACGCATAATGCGCCGATTTTACGTCTCTCTTGACTACCCCTTAGGTCTGTGATGCTAAACTCTCTGGGACTCAAAGAGTTAAGGTCGCCACCAGTCTCCCATAGCTTCTCTTGCAATGTAGCTCCTTTGGGCCAGATCCACAGTCTTTGCTGGGAGAAGTTAGGGCAGTACTGTAGTATTTGCTCAGGGGTCTGTCTTTCTGCTCCACAATCACAGGCAGCAGATTCTTTTATGCCTATCCTGTACAGGTGTGCTAAAAGACCACAGCATCCTGTCTGAAGTCTGAAAATTGATGTTTGTTCTTTCCATTCTGGGAAGCAAATACTGCCAGCAAAATGCTGACCACATCAAAAATAGGTAATATTGATTGATGATTGATGATCTATGAAAATATACATCTACTGTTTGTCATACATTCAGTGTAAAAATGCTTCAGTAGTCTTCTTCTTCTTCTTCTGCTTCGCGTTCACTGGCTGTACACTCTGGCGGAAAGTTCTGGTTGTTCGTCCACTACTGAACTGCAGTCCTGCTCCAGAACCTGAGTGTTGCATGTGCATCAGTTTTACAGATCTGATTCACTTTAATGCAGACTGGTGGTTCCTTGCCTCTCAGGCAGATGCACTCCGACTTCAAAGGAAGCTCCCCAATTAGTCGACTTTTACCACAGGCTTTTGGGTAGGCAGTGGGTCTATTCTTGTTTTCCCCACAATGGGGCCCTGGAACCCACATGGGGAATGTGTCTAAAGTCTGAAAATTGATGTTTGTTCTTTCCATTCTGGGAAATAAATACTACCAACACAATGCTGACCACATCCGAAATCGATCATACAGTATAATGATGGGTATCTATGAAAATATACATCTACTGTTTGTCAAACATGTAACAATGCTTCATAGTGTCACATGGTCTTTAGTTTCTTAAACAGACACACACAAAATTATGTAATGTCTCAACTGTACTGTTTGTTTATCTTCTTCTTCCTCACGTTCACTGGCTGTAAACTCCAGCAGAAAGTTCGGATTGTTCATCCATCTCTGGATATTAGTCTTCTTCCAAAACCTGAGTGTTGCATGCACACATATTTTACAAATCCACCTTATTTGTGTGCAGATTGTTGGTTCCTTGCCTCTCAGTCAGATGCACTCCAATTTCAAAGGAAGCTCCCAATTTGTTAATTCCTACAACATGCTTTTCTAGGGAGGCAGTCTATTCTCGTTTTTCCCCACAATGGGACCCCGGAACCCACAAAGGGAATATAATTATCCATATTTGATAGACTATTCTGTACTGTCACAGAGTGGTCATGTCTGCAGTTGTTAGTGAAGGAAGAAATATAAGAAGGACTGACATACTGAATGGGCTAGAATGTTGATATAACATAAAACGTATTCAGGTGGGTTTAGCACATGGTGATATATAAATTCTGCTGTTGGGGTGGAGTCCCATTTGGGGTGGGGAAACAAGAATAAGACCCACTGTTTTTCCCCATCAAGCATGTCGTAAGAATTAATGACTGAGAGTTTATTCATAGTCGGAAGTGCATCTGCCCGAGAGACATCTCTTGTTTCGGAACCAACAGTCTGACATCTGTATAAGTCAGATTTGTAAAACTGATGTAAAACATAACATTCATGCTCTCGAACACAAGTCTAAAGTTAGAGGTGGATTGAAAATTACCAATTCTGCCAGAGTTTATAGCCGATGAACATGAAGAAGGACAAAAGAACTGTGAAATACCTATATTTTATAGACACATCGGCCCCTCATTTGTGGTGGTCAGTATCCCGCGACTTGCCTTTACTTTCCATGATGTTACCTGGTACACGTTTGAGGCTTCGAACCAACGACCTTTTTTCCTTCAGGTTGGTGTCTAACCACTACACCGGGGGGGGGTGGGGGGGGGGCGGCCTAGGGGGTCTTGAGGTATGGTGTCCGCCTCGAGTGCTGGAGGTCCCGGGTTCAAATCCTGGTGAAGACAGGGATTTTTTTTCACGTGGACTTCTAGTAATTTCTTCTGGTGTCTGGGTAGTAAGATCGGACGCCCGTGTTTATTGTTGTTGCACACGTGAAAAAATACATAGGCAGTTGGAAACTGGAAATCGTAAAAAGTAGCCTAACGGCGCTGTGCCCAGATCAAATTTAGTTTTAGAGTTAAAAATCTACCTAAAGTATTTCAGGATCCTTGCCCGTTCAACGGAGTTCGTGCACTGTGCTGAGAATCTCAGAATTAGGCTTGAGTTAGAGGTATAAATCGAGCACTTATGGGTTACACCACAGGTGTGTCATAATGTTGATTGATCCGTTGAAATACACATGCAAATTACAAAACAAAAGGTAACAATAAAAGGAGGGTCAAACACAAAGATACTGTGCTAGCCTGAAAAGTTACAAACGCTAACGTAAACGATTAAACAGCAAACTTTGACATGGCTGGTGCAGCAGCACAGACTAACAATGAAGGCTGCGACCTACACATCAGTGCTGTGTTGCCACTTTTCTTTGACAAAAAACATCCAAAACAGAGTTTAAAAAATATCTAAAAACATCTACATTTACGTGGAAAACATCTTTAAAAGGACAACACAGTACACATACACAAATATGCTCAAACTATGAAGTGACTACATAGGACTCTAATGTATAAAATAAAACGATACTCATCTGAGTCCCTGGCGAAAAAACTATCTACAATGAAATGACGGTCAGCCTATATATCTCCAACGTGCAGGTGGGGACGAACAAAGGGGTGGTTTAGACGCCAACAGCGCACGCTGAAATTACATAGCAATTGATATGACTTACCCTATAGAATCATGTCCTCATCTTTACTGAAGACTGCCTTACAAGATCCACAGGATAAACTTAACTTGGATGATGTAGTTGAAGCTTCAGATCCAAAATGACTGGTACGCTTTAGCTGTTCTAATTTATTTTAATACTCAATTAGGGAGCTGATAAGTGGAACAGCCTTTTCTTACGCTTATCATGCCGAATTTAATTGTCAAGATAGCATTTAAATGGTCAAATTTCATCCTGTTTCTTATGTTAGATTCGATAAATTCACTCCAAATTGAAAACATTTAGAAAGACATCTACTATCTAAACGTTACAAACGCCATCTAAATGCAAGGAAAACATCTAAATCTGGATTAAAACATCCAAAGTGGCAATACTGGCTGCGGCCTGCACATGTGTAGCCCAGTGTTGCCACTTTGGATCTTTTATATCCAAATTTAGATCTTTTTCATTGCATTTAGATACTGTTTTTGACGTTTAGATCGTAAGTATTTTTCTAGATACTTTTCATATGGAGTTAGATATTTTATAGATTTTTTTTTCTTTCATTGTCAATTTAATAATTACTGTGTTAAATATTTGCTACAATATTTTTGTTTTGGTCTTGCACGTACATTGTGACAACTGCCATTACTTGAACTTTGAACTCTCACCGGGGTCAACGCACAAATATCTGGCAGCCCAGGTAAAAAACGCGCGTAAATCATACTTTGTTTCAACCGTATCCTCACTGTGCTGACTTTGCGCTTTCTTTTTCATGTGATTTAAAAAAAAATAATTGCTCACCTTCTTATGTGGCTTTCACTTTAAAAAAACCTTTCAACATGCCAAAAGTAAAGTATGCAGCAACAAATTTAGAAAAGAGTGGTTGCATTGATGATGACAAAATTAAAAAACTGGGGATTTGACCAAAAGCTTGTTGTAAGTGAATCATCAAAAGTTGAAGTATCAGTCGCAACGTTTTAATTTGTCACTGCGCAATTTCAAACTGTGACCATTTGATCGATTTGTAAAAAAATCTTGGACTAGTTCAATTTAAAAAAGTGTGATGTAGAAAGAATAGTTTAGGAATCTGAAGGACCTTTTTAATCCGAATATCAGGTAACCAAAATAAAGTTAGCTGAATGGACAAAACAAAAACAGAAACTAAAGCGTTTTGGAGTGAAGTGAGACACTTAAAGATGCCTTATCAAACAGTCCATTCTGTAAGCTCTTTAAAGTGCCATGTCTGCCATGATACTACCACACTCAAATGCTGACGTAGGAAAGAGTTTTCAGGGCTAGGAATTATATCAAATCTAACTAAAAAAACAGGATGAAATTTGACCTCTTAACTCTTTGAGTCCCAAGGAACGCATCATACGCTTCATAGGTTCCTACCTAGAAGCCCAATGAACGCATGTGCGCCGATTTTATTACTTTTCTTTTACTACCCCCTGGTCCTGTGATGCTAAACCCCCTGGGACTCAAAGAGTTAAATGCTATCGTGCCATTAAAATTCGGGCCTGATGAGACTAGAGAAATAAGCCTACTGTTCCACTTATAAAGAAATTTGAACAGCTAAAGCATACCAGTGGTCATTTGGATCTGAAGTTTCAACTTCATTATCCAAGCTAAGTTTTATCCTGTGGAT